CCAAATAAAGGAGGCATGTGGCCCACAGGGCATGAGTTTGACATGCTTGATCTGGACCTAGGTCCCTACTAAACAGAGACCTGGGTAACAGGAGATTTGAAGACGTTTGGGAATTATCAACAGTTCAAACTTGAAAGGCTTGAGAAAAGCCAAAAGAAATAGGTGTTCATAAAAGAGCTCAACCTCTATCTGAAGAAGCACACATCTAATGCAAATTGAAATATAAATAAGTGCAAATTAAAAGTGATACTGCTTTGGGGGAGGGGCAGAGTAGGAGGAATCTTGTCCATTTGGTGATATATCTAGGCCAATAAATAAGACAACAAAAGAAATTCAGTGAGAGTTCTTGCCTTTGAGATGTCCCCTATTTTGCCATAAACATATACAAGAAGATAAAATCTAGCCAGACTCTAGGTTCCCAAAAATTTCACCCCCCCTCCCCATTTGACAGATGCAAGAACTGAGGCCAAGAGAGATCAAATGACTTAGTTTCAGAGCCCAGACTGGAACCTAACTTCTGATTTCATCATTCTATCACACTGCCAGTGAGTTTATTTAAGAGAAATAGGAATATGAAAAACAAAAGGAAATATATATAACCGCCACAAAAAAAAAAAAAAGAATAAAAAATAAATAGCCCTAGCTGGTTTGGCTCAGTGGATAGAGCATTAGCCTGCAGACTGAAGGGTCCTGAGTTCGAGTCCGGTCAAGGGCACATGCCTGGGTTGTGGGTTTGATCCCCAGTGGGAGGCATGTAGGAGGCAGCCAATCAATGATTCTCATCATTGATGTTTCTCTCTCCCTCTCCCTTCCTCTCTGAAATCAATAAAAATGTACTTTAAAAGTTAATTAATTTTAAAAAAGAGAAATAGGGATAAATACCGAGGAAATACTTCTGCAGAAAAAGTTATATGCTCAACTCCATTCCCTGCCATGATGAAGTGGGACTGGAAGTGGGTAAATAAATTACGTTGATCTGAAAATTATTACAATTATTGAATATGGTGATTAAAAGACTATGGAGAGCCCTAACTGGTTTGACTCAGTGGATAGAGCGTTGGCCTGCAGACTGAAGGGTCCCAGGTTCGATTCCGGTCAAGGCATGTACCTTGGTTGCGGGCACATCCCCAGTAGGGGGCGTGCAGGAGGCAGCTGATCGATGTTTCTCTCTCATTGATGTTTCTAACTCTATCCCTCTCTCTTCCTCTCTGTAAAAAATCAATAAAATATATATTTTTTAAAAATCAATAAAATATACTTAAAAAAAAATAAAAGACTATGGAGAAACATGGAAATGTCCAGATGTAATGTTAAGTGTAAAAAAGCAGGGTACAAAATCCAGGGCAGTGCAGAAAATGGAATTCATTCACACCTGAGTTAATCCCAGCTCTGCCCCTTTCCTCGCTCTGTGGCTTTAGGGAAATCACTCAACCACTCTGAACCTCCAAAAGAATAAAAGCAGCATTTGTCTCAGAGGATTCTCATGAGGCTAAATAAGAGGATGAATGTAAAAAAAATGTTTGTCATTGTAGAAATGTTCTGTTAACCACTGACATCATAATTATGCCTTAAATTTAGCTATTAACTGAACAAGGATTGAAAGGTGATATACAAAATAAAAACGACTGCAAAGGTGAGATGAGATTATAAATGTGCATGGTTGTTTTTTACTTCTTCTAATAATTCTATATCATTTCCCAAAGGAAAAAGCAATTTTAAATAAGGACCTCAAAGAAATCCCATACTTGGGACCTGGGGCCCATGCCCCCTAGTTCCTAAGGCTGCTGTCAGATGATAGAAAAGGTCAACATGACCTGATTCACTTAGAGAAGATGGGGAGGGGGGGAGGGGGGGGGCCTGGAGAGGGAATGTTCTAGAATCTAGAACAGCCGTGGGCAAACTACGACCCGCGGGCGGAGAAATGAATAAAACTAAAAAAAAAAAAAAAGACCGTACCCTTTTATGTAATGATGTTTACTTTGAATTCATATTAGTTCACACAAAAACTCCATCCATGCTTTTGTTCCGGCCCTCTGGTCCAGTTTAAGAACCCATTGTGGCCCTCGAGTCAAAAAGTTTGCCCACCCCGATCTAGAAGATCCTGTCTTGCTCAGATCAGACCCTGAGAAAATCTGATTTTTTCATTCATTCATTCATTCATTCATTCATTCATTCATTCACTTACTCAAACACTCTTTGAGCCACTACTGAATGCAAGGAACTTTAAAATATTAGACTGACCCACAGGATGAATGTGGAACAATCTCCATTATATAACTGAAAAAAGCAAGCTTCAGAACACTTCGTGTAGAATGCTACCATTTGTATTAAAAATAGATATATAAATATACATATTTATAAAGTTGTGAATTCATCGAATTGCTCAGAAAGGATACACAAGATATAGATAACAGCAATTAACTCCGGAGACGGAATAGGGAACTGAAAGCTGACCTCCATTGAGAAGCTTACTTTTTTCCCATCGTATACTCTTTTGTATTGTTTGAATGTCTTACCATGTATATGTATTAATTTTTCAAAACACACAAACATTTTTAAAATGAGTAAAATAAGGTGTGCTCAGTGCTGAATACGCCGCGGTGAAAGGGCAGGCGGGATGGGGGAGGGTCCTCCGGCTTCGGGAAGGCAAAGTGTGTTGGACTTGCTGAGCCACACATGTTGTTACGTTTTCAAAACCCAGACTGTTTACATAAGTGAAGGGAACAGTTCTCTCTACACACTCAACGAGCTTTATAGTCACTCTGCATAGCGTTTTACAGAGATAAAGCAGTTGGAAAATAAATACTAGTCATTTGTCAAGCCTCGGCATGTGTTAAATTGTAGTTTCTATGAGGGCAGGGAGTTTATCTGTTTAACTTCATCAGGAGAGCACTCCAGCTAATGTGCAGATAAGTGCTGCTTATGGCAAGCCTTTTCTGATAAAAATGATAGCACGGCCATTAAAAACACCTTGAAGAAAAAAAGATCAAAAGGTATTGGACCCTGAGGGCACCATGCCTGCGAGGGCTAGGCAGCCGCCTCTGGGACGGACGCCCCCCTCCCCTCAAAAGCACGGTCTTCAAATGGCAAGTTAAATCCCGATGGGAATCCAAGGTTATAGCGACACTGCCTGTGCTCTTGTCACAAGCAAATGTGATGTGCAGGGCCCTCCTTGGGGTGACGAGGCGCAGACTGACTCCAGAGAGAACCTGGCACTCCACCCGCAGGGGAGGGAGGAATGTGGATGTCTGCAAACCCGACAAGCTGGCCTCCGGCCAAAGCAGCAGGTCACGAAGACAGCACAGTGGCTGACACCAGGGACTCAAGAAACCAGACAAGCCTGACTCAGCACCCTCGCGTACAGGTGGCCCGGCAACTCGCTGAACCTCTCTGCGCCCGTTTTCTCCTCTGTGAAGTGAAGCGTAACTGCGAGATCCATCATCGTGAGGACTATGAGGCTCACTAGAAAGTATTTAGCTACATGCTGGGCACGGGAGCAGGGCTTAAAGTGCTCTTGTCATCGGGATTACTAAATAAGGGAGAGGTGTCCCAGATTGGTCATAACTGGCCATTGGCATCCAAGTGTGAATGGCAGGCGAGGTACTCTGAAGTCACAGTAAGAATCCCTCACTTTTGCCCAGCTGGTGTGGCTCAGTGGTTGAGCGTCGACCTATGAATCACGGTTCGAATCCTGGTCAGGGCACATGCCCGGATTGTGGACTCGGTCCCCGGTGTAGGGCATGCAGGAAGCAGCCAATCAATGATGCTCATCGTTGATGTTTCTATTTCTATCCCTCTTTGAAATCAATACAAATATTTGTTTTTAAGGAATCCCTCACTTTTATATAGTGTTTCATAAAAATGCTTTCACACTCATCATCTCACAGAAGCCGGAGAAGCGAGTTGGATGGGAACGACTCCCTCTGTTTTGAAGGGGTGGGGCCGGTGCAGCGAGGGGCTTTGTCGAGAGCTGGTGATAGCAATCACTAAACTGCGGAGTCTCTCTGAAACTGAGGCAAGCACCAACCTTTCCCAGCGCCATTAGCATTTCCACTGAAGATGTGGCATTTGACAGCGGAAGAAAATGATTTCTGTTTTCAACTGTGAAAAGGTCGAGTATGTTTATCTAACTTAGTAATGTATACTTGATATTCAATACCTCCCTTGAAAGATCCTCTCTAAGAACGCAGCCAGCACTCACTTCCCGTTGCTGTGCTAGATCCTGTCGGGCATCAGAAGGTCAGAGGTCAGAGGACACCCCCCACACCCCCAGTGGTTAGGTCCCACTGGGTCGGGACCTAACGCTGCCATCAGTGAGTGAAAAGGCAGCCCAGCCTCAAATACCTAATTCCAAGTCTGTCATAGCCAAGTTCCCTGTGGCAGTGGCAATCCCAGGCCCCTTGGACGCTGCAAGGACATGACAGAATTCCTCCCTCCAGCAAAGGGTTCTGTTGGGTTGAAAATCCATTTGGAGGAGAGATGGAAGTGCCCAGAAAATTTCAATTGGCCCTAGAGCCAATGCCATTAGCCCAGGGGAGACCTTGAAGGTGACTCTTGACCAGCACTAAGACCCTCCCTCACCCCTTCAGAAGGTCTCTAGAGCAGTGGTTCTCAACCTTCTGGCCCTTTAAATACAGTTCCATATGTTGTGACTCAACCATAAAATTATTTTCGTTGTTACTTCATAACTGTAATGTTGCTACTGTTATGAATCGTCACGTAAATATCTGATATGCAGGATGGTCTCAGGCGACCCCTGTGAAAGGGTCGTTTGACCGCCAAAGGGGTCGCGACCCACAGGTTGAGAACCGCTGCTCTAGCGGGTCAGGAAGTCCCAGACTCCCAGTGTCGTAACCACAGCTCCAGAGTCTAGAAGACACCGTGGACAAGAGGGACACAGCTCTCCTGCAGCAATGGGACATGGGGGGCGTCTGGGAAGACCCTCGGGGGGAGCAGGGTGGGGCCAGGCTCACCTGAAGAGGAATACAAGAGCCCACCTGCATGGTAAGAAGAATATTTTTATTTGAAATATAGTCTGAGCAACATGAGTGTAGCCAGGAGGAGGAGGGGCTGGCCTGCCTGGGGCAGCAGCCTCTCTAATGGCACAGGAGCAAGAATACAAATATCCCAACGTCTGTGGGCCCCAAGCCCCCTGGTCAGGAGAGGCAGGGCGGCCGCGGACGAGGCGCCCACTCCTTCTGAAGGGTCTGCCCTCGGCGCCTGCCTGCCTGGGCCGCACTGCTGCTCCCCGGGCCCCAGCCAGGGGTGCTGCAGAAGTTTCTCCCGCTCACGCAGAGAGCCAGCGGGACAGCCAATTCTCCGGGACTACTCTGGGTTAAAGAATCAGAGAAGGCAGGAAGGACGGGCCAGGTGGCCGAGGCCCGCGTCAGGCCAGGCTGGGCAGAGCTCTCCAACAGGAACCGCGCCAGCCCCCCTCAAACCCCCTTCTCAGGCTCTGTCCGCCCAGAGAGCTCGGAGGAGTCCCCTGGCTGAAGGCAGCAGTGGGGAGCCTCCCGGAAGAGCACAGCCAAGCGGAGCGGACAGCACTGGGGCTGGAGGGAGACAGACAGGAGCTGGGGACTGAGAAGCAGCACAAAGCCATAAATAACAGAATTCAGATCTGTGAGGGTCCCGGGCGACCCCACATCTCCTGGGGCCGGGGCACACCCAGCTCCCCGCAGCTCAGGGCAGACACTGCTCCAGGGCACAGCCTGCCACGCACACCGGGCAGAGCCTTCTATTTTCCACTGTCCACACGGCAGGTGCAGCACCCGCAGCACCACCCGACCTCCGGTCACACCTGAGGGGACGGTGCGTGGCTGTCCTGGTCCTGAGAGGCCAGTGGTTGACTCTGAGCGTCTCGGACAATGTCCTCCTCAGGGGCCAGGCCCGGCGACCTCCTGGCCTCTGGGTCACCTGACAAAGGCTCGCCAGTACATTCTTCCAGTCCGTTTTCCCTGGTCTCCATGGATACCTCCTCCCCAGAGCCTTCTTCTGGCTCCGCTGCCTCCTCTGCCGCCTCCTCCTCGTCCTCCTGGTCTCTCACCTTGTGGACGATGAAGAGGTGGCGGCTGAGGGAGCTGGTGGAGGTGTAGCACAAGCCACAGAAGGGACACTGGGCCGTGGAGCTGTCCGCCTGGTGCTGAGGTATGTGGCTCTGAAACTCGATCCCCGAGTCTGTGGCAAAGCTGCATTTCGCGCACTGGAAAAGGGACTTGTGCCTCTTGACAGAGGAGGCGGCCTCGCCGTTGTTGGTGCCGGGAGCATCCTCCGCCCCGCTGACCCGTCTCTTCAGATGGTTCACCTGAAAGGGACACAGCGTCAGCCGAGTCCAGGCCGAGCTGAGCCCAGCACGGGAGGCCCCACCCACAACCAGTGCAGCCCAAGGCCTCGCAGAATCTCCACCCAGACCAGGGTCACCCCGGCCCCGAACGCTTGTTTGACTTGGGTCTGTCTGGGGGTTTTTTATTTGCTTTTTAAAAAGTGACGTCTGCTGTGGCACAACATTCCAAAGATACAGGAAGGGCATGGAGATTACATCCCTCCGGCCCACGCCCAGGCCTGCTCTCCAGAGATCGCGGTGTCGCCCGGCCTCTGGGGCTCCTCCCGGAGATATTCTACACATTTACAAAAACAAAGCTGCTCTTTCACACGATAGCACTGCACGCACACGTTCCTCCGCCCTGTTCTTTTCACGGCATAACATGACTGGCGCTGGTCTCCATGAGGCTGAGACAGAGGCCACGCTCGCCTAACAGCAGCATGCGGGCCCCCTGTGGGGATGGGCAGTCCCCACTGGAGGGCATTTAGTCGCGTTCCATCTGTCACGCACACAGAGCTGCAGTGAACATCCCTGAACACACTTCTTGGTGCCCAAGGCCAGAGACACCGGACAGATAAACCCAAGAAGCCGACTTGCTGCATCAAAGGGTGTGCGCCTTTGGAGGTCAGGGGAGGGGGTGCATTTTAATCGCAGGCAGATGTTGCCAAAACGACAACTGACACCCCACCTGCTATGTGGGCAAGGGCCTTCGCCGATCAGTGAGAGCCCTTCTCTGAACAGCCCAGATGGGTGGTCCTGGACCTCCAGGAGCTCTCGGCTCCCCAGGTGTGCCGCGCCCCTCTGAGGCGCAGCGTGGGAGGAGGCTACAGTGAAGAGGGAGGCCAGGCTGCCCCCAAAGTTCACCAGAAATGGGCCTGGAACAGGGATGAGGTCACAGGATAAGGACCCAGCCCTAACTGGTTTGGCTCAGTGGACAGAGTGTCAGCCTGTGGATTGAAGGGTCCCAGGTTCGATTCTGGTCAAGGGCACATGCTTGGGTTGCGGGCTCTTTCCCCAATAGGGGGCATGCAGGAGGCAGCCAATCAATGATTCTCTCTCATCATTGATGTTTCTATCTCTCTCCCTCTCCCTTCCTCTCTGAAATCAATAAAAATATACTTAAAAATAAATAAGTGCACAAACAAAAAAACATAGAACAAGGGTCCAGGAGAGGAGGTGTTGGAGTATGGCTCTTCCCACAACCGGTGCGGGAGTGGGGGTAGGGGTCAGCCAAGCTTGGCCATCGTCACCTGACAATCAGCCCCCTACCCACTCCTAAGACTGAGTGAGGCAGAAGCAAGCTGGTGTGTGTGTGAAAGCTCTCCCGTCACTGAGCGCAGCCCACCCCGAAGGAAGGGCTCCCGGCAACAAAGAAACGGCAGGACCAAGAGGCCAATGGGCCCTAACCGGTTTGGCTCAGTGGATAGAGCGTCGGCCTGCGGACTGAAGGGTCCTGGGTTCGATTCCGGTCAAGGGCATGTACCTTGGTTGCGGGCACATCCCCAGTGGGAGGTGAGCAGGAGGCAGCTGATCGATGTTTCTCTCTCATCGATGTTTCTAACTCTCTATCCCTCTCCCTTCCTCTCTGTAAAAAATCAATAAAACGTATTTTTTTTTTAAAAAAAGAGGCCAATGGGCTGCCTCGCGGGTCTCTGTCCCTGTCCTTTACTTGTGTGCAGTCCCAGGTGTGGGTCACACAGGCTCGAGAGTGACCCACCTTGAGGGAAGTTGTCAGGGCTGTTGTGACGTGGCCACAAGGACCAATGGGCACCCTGTGGCCTTCCCAGTGCCCCTCCAGCGCCAGCCCTCACTGAGCAAGCTGCTCCGGTGGGCAAGGGCTCCACACTCACCTGAGGGGAATGTCCACCCGGAGGTCTGACTTTGGACGTCTGGCTCAAATCAGGGTTTCTGATGCCATGCATAAGGCTGATGTGGCTCTCCAGGAGGGAGGGCCGCGGGAAGCTGGGGCTGTCCTCCGTGCAGTACCTGAGAAAGGACGGCCAATGGAATGGTGTGAGATGACAGGCCGCAGCGCCCAGCGGAGCTAGGCAGGCAGGCAGAGGTTGACGCTGCTTCTGGCTCCAGGGCTGAGAGCCTGGAGCAGACAGAGAGCGGGCTGGGTGGTCCTCAGGCTGGCGTGGGAGTGCTGGGCACTCCTCAGAGCACTCTAGGCAGCAAGCCAGCCGAGGTGACAGACAACAGCAGGTCGGAATGTGTGCACTGGCCTCGGCCGTGAGCTTACCCTCCACTGCCTGGTATCACTGCCCAGAGGTCCGGGTGCAGGGCTGGTGGTCAGCATGACGCCGGCGTACGTGCTGGAGCACAGGCAGGTGGTGCTGCCGGGCTCACGGTCACACCACCGCTCCTCGTAAACCCCAGGGCCCTTCACCACTGACCGGCAGTGCAGCAGGGGTTAGGGGAGCGGGAGGGGGAAGACCTCAGAAACCCCCAGGGCCTGGGAGCTGGTTTTGACCTGCCCTGACTTCTGAACTAGTCACAGCACTTTTCCTTTTAAAGATGTGCTGATCTCAGAGTAGAGAAATGCCATGGACAGTCTTTTTGGGTCTCAGACCTCCCGGCGTCCCCCTGCGGACACTCACCCACATGTGTAGACTTTCTTGACGGTGTCGTGGTTGTTGCGGATGTGTTTGCGCAGGCTGCTGGGGGTGTGGAAGGACTGCTCACACTGCCGACACGGGTACCGCTTCAGTGTCTGCAGGCCACAGAAAGCGGAGCATCAGGACTGCAGGAGAGTTCTGGGTGTGCCCCCTTCTCAGATGACACGGGCAGAAAGGATGCCCACAGACCTCAAAGGACCAGGAATCGTAAGGGGTCGGCCACATAAGGGGCCGCTGACCCCACAGGAGAGAAGTCCAGAGAAGCTGGCGCGGCCCTGTGACCTGAGACTGCACTTACCCGACCGTGGCTCTTTTTCATGTGGGACACGTAGCTCTCCCGGTCAGGAACCCACTCCTGGCACTCCTGGCAGGTCCAGCCAGTGCTCCTCAGCCGGGGCTTGCCCTCAGCCCTGCGATGGGCCTCGGACCTGCCCCAGCGGCCGGACGGCAGGGAACTGCCCCGAGCAGCCACGCTCGTGGCCGGGGGCTCCGTGGAAACTCGAGAACCAGGGCGGCTGGAGGACGTGTCTGCTGAAGACTGGAGGCTTGACAGCTCTTCCACGTTTCGGGGAACACCGTGCGTGCTCTGGGGATGGGGAGAGCGGTTACTGACTGGGCAAGGGGAAAGAGGCACAGAGTCAGACCGCCCTGGCCCGAGGCATGCGCCCTCCTCCCAGCCTCCTCCCCCAGGGTCACCCACCTTGACGTGCTGCATCAGCTCTGGCTTCTGCGGGAACAAGAGCGGGCACTCGGGGCACTTGAAGACGCCCACCTGTGCCTGGCTGGCATTCTGGTAAAAATGCTGCTGCATGTGCCTCTTCTTGTTGAAGATCATCTCGCAGGAGCACTTATACATGAGCCTGTGGGACAAGCCCCAGGGCGTGAGGTGGCCAGGGCTCTGCTGGCAGAACCACGCGGCCCTCCCCCGCCCCTGTCGCCGCTCTCTCTGAACCAGGGTCGGGCGTGGGAAAGCACTACTCTGAGCCAGTGTGGCTTCTCCCCGGCCTCGGGATGTCTTTGGTGGACTCCAGACATCTCTGCCACTAGCCCCGGCTCCCAGGTGGACCCAACAGCTTCCCCTACTGCACCCAGGCCACTGGGCTCTGCCCCCAGGCCTGCTGGCCCCGGGGTTGCACTCACTGGGAGGGTTTGTGGGGCTGGGTGGGGTGCTGGGAGGCGCTGTGGTCCGCAGTGCTGCTGGCAGTCTTGAAGGCCATGGGGCAGAAAGCACATTTGTGGAAAACCTGGCAGTGTTTCTCCTGGATGTGGCTTTTCAGCAAGGACAAGGACAAGTTGATGGCCCCGCAGTGGATGCACCTGAATGACAGGGGGGGGCGGGTGGGAGTGGAGGTTAGATCCAGAGGTGGTCCTGGAAAAGGAGGGATAGGGGACAAGAACACAGCCGTGTTGGGACTCATGGTCACACCACCACTCGTCTGAGAAGGGGGTGCACCCAGAACTATCCTACGGTTTCGAAGCTTCACTTTCCATCCTTCACTCGTACATCTGAGAGCCTGCCTGCTGCTGTCTGGCATAATGCAGTCACCCAGGGCCCCCCAAGCCCAAGCCACACCTGGTAGAGAAGTGGGGAGAAACCCTCCCCTCCCCTCATTGGCCAGAGGATATTTGTCTGCAAACTAAAAACTTGGGCCCAGCTAAGAGAAGTTGGTGGGGGTGGAGAAGGGAGGGAGTGGTCAAAAAAATGATACAAACAGTATTCATTTAATGTGGTACAACTGCAAGAGGAATTTCAAGAGGCTGTACTTCCCACAGGCTGGTACTCGCTAAGCAGGGATGGCCACCGAATAAGAAACAGTTAAGAAATGCTAAGCTCCCCGTAACAACCACATTAAAACAAATGGCCCCAGCCCAGGAAGAAACACTCTAGAGCAGCGGTCCCTGAGGCCCGAAAGGTTGGCGACCGCTGCTCTAGAGCATCCCTGTCCGGTGGCACTTGCTCTGATGATGGAAGTGTCCTATGCTGCAACGTCCATGCTGCTCTTCAAATTTAAGTTGATAAAATGAAACGGCCAGACGTACTGGACACATTTCAAGTGCTCAGTAGCCACTGTGGCTGGTGCCATTCTGGACCATGCAGCTCGTCAGTGCTGTGACGTCTCCTTGGTGGGCGACTTTTTGTTTCTCTTTCTCCCTACTAATTGCTATTTTCTGCGTTTTGTTTAGCGGATATATCATTTTTTATTATCTATGAACTGTCTGCAACCACTTTTCTGAAACTGAGGCCGTGTTGGACTCTTCTTTTGACTTCAGATATCTCGCTATAAACGTTGCCTTTGAGCATGTGACCTGCCTCCTTGCTAACCTGAACCCACAGAGGCACACCCGCTCATGCTCAGTCCTTCCTCCTGTCTGTGGACACACACAGGCCTCCCTCCAGGAGAAAACACCTCCGACCTCCCTCTTGCTGCAACACTGCCTGCCACATGCCTGCCCCGTAGCCGTGACCCCTGGGAGCTCTTGGAGAGGGGCTGCCGCTGCCCTGCGGAAAGGACGTGCCTTCACTTAAGAACTACTTCACGATCCACAGAAACCATCACAGAATCCCGACCAGCGTTTTTGTTTTCCTTCCGTGTGTGTGTGTGTGTGTGTGTGTGTGTGTGTGAGAGAGAGAGAGAGAGAGAGAGACTGGAGGAGGCGGCAGGGGTTGCGGAGTCACCTTTGCAAACATGAGCAGTGAGGAGCAGCCTGCAGACCCAGAAAGCTGCCTGCAATGAACGCCAATGAACACTTACTATTACACCTGGACGTGCCGCCAAGTTTCTGTACCAGTGACGGCGAACCTTTTGAGCTCGGCGTGCCAGCATTTTGAAAACCCCTAACTTAACTCTGGTGCCGTGTCACATATAGGAATTTTTTGATATTTTCCACCATAGTAAAACCAAGACTTATATTTTTGATATTTATTTTATATATTTAAATGCCTTTTAACAAAGAAAAATCAACCAAAAAAATGAGTTCGCGTGTCGCCTCTGACACGCGTGTCAGGTTCGCCATCACTGTTCTATACAAACCACTTATATTTATTTTTCTCTCTTGTTAAACAATAGAGTGGCCAACCCTAGCACACAGAGTAACTTCCACACCACAGGTATTCTGAGGGGAAAATCCACATATTTCCAAATTCCTCCACAGTGGCCAGGGACCCCTGATGCTGTAAAGACGCTGCCCCGTGGCCATATTTGTGTAGTTGGACCAAACTCCTGCAGGAACAATCCTCTTGAAAAATCCGCCTGAGAACACATCCTATTTGCCCAGGAGACACGCTCTTCAAAGAAACCGCACCGAAAGTAAGAATGTGGAGGGGTAAACGCACGCCGAGCAGCCTCAGCGGAGGAGAGAGAGAATCCAACCCCATGACACAGTCTGTACCAAATTGTTAAGAAAAAAAGAGAAAACAGACAGGGGTAGAATCATATGCTCTGAGATATGTAGTTTTAGAAAAGAGAAAGAGCAATAATAATTTTGATTTTGCTAACAATCACAAATAATAAGAAAATAACATATTATTTTCTTATTTAAGACAGCCTAAATTTGTTCCCTTATGACATCATTGGCCACTCTCCAAATTATCAACAGAGAGCAGAATAATTTATACAGTTTTAATAATGTATATATACATTGCACATAGAATACATAAACATAAAAAAATATAAAGTATACAGGCTTTTTACATTGCCTTCAAGAAAAAGCAAAAGTAATATAAAAAATAATATTGTAAAATTGTACTAAAGCTCAATGAAATGGAACATAGGTATTTTTTGAGAATTTATTTTAAAATATTAATACCTACAGAACAAGAGAAAATATTTGCAAATTATGTATCTGACAAGGTACTTGTATCCGGAATATACAAAGAACCCTTACGGCTCCATAATAAAACAACCCAATTTAAAAATGGGCAAAAGATCTGAATAGACATTTCTCCAAAGAAGATATACCAATAGATGCTCAACACCACAAGCCACCAGGAAAAGCCACATCAAAACCATAATGAGACACCATTTACACCCACAAGGGCGGCTAGAATCAAAAGTCAGAGCAAATGTTGGCGAGGATGTAGAGAAAGCAGAACTCTCATGCACTGTTGGTGGGAACGTAAACATGGTACAGCCACTCTGGGAAACAGTCTGGCGGTTGCTCAAAAAGTTAAACTGAGTCCTGGCCAGGTGACTCAGTTGACTGGAGCATCGTCCCCTGCACCAGCAGGTCTTGGGCTCGATTTCCAGTCAGGGCACATACCTAGGTTTCGGGTTCGATCCCCAGTAGGGGCATATGGGAGGAAACTGATCAATGTATCAATGTCTCTCTCTCTCTGTCTCTGTCTCTCTCTTTTTCCCCCTCCTACCCTCTCTACCCCCCATTCTCCCTCTCTAGAATCAAACTTTTTTTAAAGTTAGACTTAGAGTTACCATATGACCCAGCTATTCTACTCCTAGGTATGTACCCACAAAAACTGAAAACATATATCCACACAAGAACTCGTACATAAATATCCATTAGCAGCATTTTTCATAATAGCCAAAAGGTGCCTATCAACTGACAAATGGATAAACAATATGTAGTATATACATCCAATAGGATATCATTCAGCCATAAAATAGAATGAAATACTGTATATGTGTTACAACATGGATGAATCTTGAAAATATTATGCTCAGAGCACATATTTTATGATCCATTTATATGAAATGTCCAAGATAAATCTACAAGACAGAGAGTAAATTAGTTGTTTATGGACTGAGGGGGTGGGAGAATAGTCAATGTAGAGATTTTGTGGGTAAATATAGACATTTTTTAGGTGAATATGTAACTCTGAATATACTGAAAACCATGAGATTGTACACTTTAAGTGGGTGAATTGTATGGTATGTAAGTTATATCTGAATAAAGCTGTTACCAAAAAATATATTAGTAATAGAAGGTCTTAACTGTAATGAATAGTGTGTTAGTGTGTATGTCTTTGGAATGCAATAACAGATCATTGGAGATTTTGAGGTCTGTTATATTCAGTAATCCTTCCAGAATGTATAGCTGAGTCACAATACATTTTAGCTGACATTTCTTACAAAAAGGCTTGAAAAACTAAACTGCTTTTGAAACAGTTTCCTTTTACTCTTATATAACAAAGTAAATAAAATAATTATAAAACAAAAAACTCTATTCATCCACCTGTATAGATTCAAAGTTAAAAATCTAAGTGTTGATTGCATGTCTATTGGATTGGATCTCGGAAGCAGCACACGCTTCAGTCACAGTTAGCAAACAAGGTGTTTATGTTACAGGACACTGGAACAGCACTCGTCAGGCGTTTGGCTTAAAATGTAGCCTGGGAGGCTGCCAAGCCCTGCTCTTCTGCAACATGGCGGCAAGGGCCTCACACAACCCTGTCTGGCCGTTTCGTTTCTCATGCACTTCATTCTCTGTTCTCCATAACATGCAACGAAATTAGTCTACATTTGGATGTGTTTATAGCAAGATAGAAAGCTGGAGTCATCACTAACCCTCCCCGTCCTCACCCCCGTCTACAAGCTATCATCGAACCCTAATGCTTACACTTCCTGAATCTCTCTCAACTCTACCTTCCCGCCATCCCAAGTCCATGCCTGAGCTGAAGCCCTCAGCATCTCACCTGGACCGTCACACTTGCCTCTCAAACAGTCTCCAGTCTCCACCCTCCTTAGCATAACGTGTCAGCTTCCCAGAAACAACTGAGCCAATCACTCCCCATTGCACATCTGTCCATAGCTTCCCACTGTCCACGGCTAAAGACCAAATGTCTACCAAGGAATACAAGGTTGTGCAAGGCCTGGCCTCCACCAACTCCGGGTCTCATTTCTCACCTCTCCCCCCCATTCCTCCTGACCCACCTCTACAGAAATGCTGAGCTTCCCATAAGCCCTGTTGTGTGTGCTAGTATCCCGCCCATACCCTTGCTCCAGACATGCTCTCCCTTTCTTTTGTCTGAAAACCTCCTAATACCCGCTCTCTGAAGTTTCCCTGGGCCATTCCTCCATACGGGACTTACCACTCCGAGTTACAACTTCTGTGTACATGTTTATAACCTACCAGACTGAAGCCCCTTGAGCTCAGGGAATGTGTCTTAATCATTTTTATATCTTCAGTGTCTGGCACAATGCTAAAGACAATAATAAGTACTAAAGTTAAATAGACTAAAACAATAATTTTTTTTTAATACCAAAGAGAAGAAAACCTTACTAAATTTGGGCAACATTAAATTTCAGAAGTGAAAGTAATAAAATAAACCATGAAATGTAGTAACTCCCAAATGCAGTAAACCGGCACAGGAGACCTGATGGGGGCGATGTGAAAGTTAGAGATCAGTGAGCTTTGGAGGGTTTTCCCCTATTCTTTTTCCTGAAAATGACGTCTTGCTTATATATGTTTGACACATTGGAGAAGATTCAATCTTAAATAGGCTTTTCTTGTTCTTACTCTGAGGCCGACCATTTTTCCATTCTCAGGTGTCACTTGCTTCTCACAAACTGACAAAAACGAATCAACACAGAGACACTAGAGCCCTCTGAGTTTGGAGTCTGGCAGCTCCATTTGTTAACGAGAACTGGGAACATTTCAAAGTGCTGCAATTAGTAAATTTATCGTTGAAATTGTGCTTTCCATTTAATACGCCAAACACAATAAATGGGAACATTTCAAAGTGCTGCAATTAGTAAATTTATCGTTGAAATTGTGCTTCCCATTTAATACGCCAAACACAATAACTCTGTGAGCAAATTAAATTAGCATCTTTCAAAAAACCAAGCTGACAAAGCGGATGTTATACCTTCCCCTCCGAAGCGATTTTTGCTCATGTTTAATTTTGTTTGAACTCCATATTCTTCTCCCCCTTGCGCCTCTTGGTGTCTAGAAAACATACCCATCAGCTTGTCTTACTAGGCCGGAGCCCAGGGCTCCGAAGACCAAGCTCAGCGGCAAGTTCTGGGCCAGGAGAAGGACCAGCCCCCGGGCAGCCCCCGGACAGGACCGCGAGCCAGGCAGCACCCACCTGTAGCCCACCTTGCGGGCATAGTGCAGGCAGTTCTCCTTCACGTGGGTCTGGAAGTAGGCGGAGCGACAGAGGACTCCACACTCCGGACAGCAGTACGGGGACTTGTGTGTGTGGATCCGCTGGTGAGCACAGAAACTGCACTGGTTGGGCAGCAGCATCTGGCACACCGGGCACGTCTAGGAGAGAGCACGGAGAAGACGGTTCACGCAGGCGCCGCCGGCCCTGGCTCTCCAACCACAGCTGCCTGCTTTCCCAGGGCCTGGGTCAGAACGGCCCTCCACCCCCTGCAACTATCCTCTTAGGACACTTGACACCCTAGACCTCATTGAGAGTGTTGATACTGCCCGGCCGGTGTGGCTCTGGGGTTGAGCGTCGACCCATGAGCTAGGAGGGTACGGTTCCATTCCCAGTCAGGGTTTCGGCCTCGATCCCGGGTAGGGGGTGTGCAGGAGGCAGCCGATCGATGATTCTCTCTCATCATTGATGCTCGTATCTCTCCCTCCCTCTCTCCCCCCCACCCCCGCCCCTCTTTGAAATCAATTTCAAAAGCATCTATTTTTTAAAAGTGTTGATACTGACCCAAGCAAGCCTTACCTTGTTAATCACAGACAGACCAGGCCGTGTTTTCCCGATTAGTCCTGTGCGAGGACTGTGAGGGTTTCTTCCCTCTGGCTGAGCAGAGGGCCAGCCTTTCCTCTCCAGAGGCCTAAAGGCCCTTCTTGAAGTCTAAGATCTCACTGCACTGCCACACTCGCCAGGTCCTCACCCTGGCTTGGCAGCGGTGGTTCCTACTCAACACTTTGTCAGATGGTTCGGTGACTTCCTACGGGGACCGGGGACCAGAGCGTGCCCCGGCTGCCTGCAGAAGCCCCAAGGGCACGCTGACTGAGGGTCTTGCCAGCTTCCATTTCCCCAGCCCTGTCTGTCGGCTCTGGGTGGACAGGGGCGGAACCAAGGAAGAGGAGTCCTACAGCCAGACTCACTGAAGTTCTAATGGGCGGAGCCCAGCCAGCCAGAGGGAGGAACAATGGGCTGAGGGTGCCCACATCTGGAGAAGTCCTTCTCAGCAAAGAGAGGCAATTGTGCTGCTCACTTGGGGGGGTGGGGGGGGCCTGACCTGGGTCCGAGGAGTTTGCAGAAGGACAAGTCGTTAGGGAGGACAGAAAAGGGTCTCTGCTTTAATCAGCTAAATCCAGATGGGGGGCCTCTACAGGACAAACCCAGCTCTTTCTACAAATAAATGACAAGGGGGTGAAAAAAGAGAGGGAAGGGAACTTTTGATTTGATTTAAGAGAAATTTTCAATAACTGCAGTGTATGTATGGCACTTATTTGAATAATAATTCAAGCTAGCCAAGTGCAAAAAAGAATGAGATACTACCTTTATTATATTTTTATATTATTGTATTTAACACTAACTTGGAGCACTCTGGATATATGATTATCTAAAAACTAAGCTGTACACCTGAAACCAATACAAAATAAAATTGAAAGAAAAAAAAAATATCTACATCATTTTAAAAAAAAGACTAACTTAACACATTGTTTGCGGGTAGTTTTTACCGCGCACTAACAGGTGGCGCGGGCCATTTTTGCAAATTTTTTGCGCAAATGGCAATGTTCAGTAAAATTACGATAACTTCAGTTTACGTATTTATACGTTACCCGCATTCTACCGCTAGTCTATAAAAAACGTATTAATACATGTCCCGCACTCTACTACCAGTCAACGTAAAACATATAAGTAAAACGTATAAATATGTTTCCCGCATACAATGTGTTAAGCATAACATTGGGACATTTGCCACTTGATATTAAGATTTGATAATGAGAGATTATTAACTTTAAGAAATAATGATACTATGTTGATATTTTGGAAGGGAAATCTTATCTTTTAGAGACACATGAAATATTTACAGATACAATGATGTTTGCATTTACTTAAACATAATCTGTTGGAGGGGGAGGGAGGGGTAAGAAAATACATGAAAGCCCTAACTGGTTTGGCTCAGTGGATAGGGCATCAGCCTGTGGACTGAAGGGTCCCAGGTTCGATTCCGGTCAAGGGCATGTACCTTAGTTGCGGGCACATCCACAGTGGGGAGTGTGCAGGAGGCAGCTGATCGATGTTTCTCTCTCATTAATGTTTCTAACTCTCTATCCCTCTCCCTTCCTCTCTGTAAAAAAAAATCAATAAAATGTATTTAAAAAAAGAAAATACATGAAACAAGGTGGACCATGAGCTAGTACTTGTTCATTATACTATTAGGAGAGTTCATTAACCATCCTTCCCACTTTTGTAAATGTTTGGAACGTTCCATAATAAAAAGGGTGGGGTGTTTTTCAAGTATTACTTTAGGCGAAGAACAGTAAATGAGCATGCCCTTTTGTGCAAGAGGAGACTATCACACACACACACACACACACACACACCTATTTGCTTTTGTTTGCCAAAAAGGAGCAATGCAGTGATAAACCAAAACTGAAAAAAATGGTTACCTATAAGGAAGGAGGGAACAGGGCCAAAAGGACAGGGATAGAAGCAAGACTTCTCTCAATGTACCCTGCTATACAGTTTTAATTTTGGAATCAAATGTGTTTTGTTTTGTTTTGAATCCTCACCCAAGGATAATTTTTTCCACTGGATTTTAGAGAGAGTGGAAGGGAGAGGGAGAGACAGAGAGAAACACTGATGTGAGAGAGACACATCGACTGGTTGCCTTCCACACGCCCCTGACCTGGGCCAGGAACCTGCAACCGAGGTACATGCCCTTGACCAGAATTGAACCTGGGAACCTTCAGTCTGCAGGCTGAGGCTCTATCCACTGTGCCAAACTGGCCAGGGCGGAATCAGATGCTTTACAGAGTTTTTAGGTAATATGAAATGAAACTAAATAACCAAAAGCATTCCCTAAAAATTGAAAAACAGAAACATATAACCTAACTAACATCAAGTAACTATATCAACTACATAGAAAAAAAGGATTACTGCACTCCCAGGAACCTTTCAAATACAACATTTTGACCAATATGTCCTTAATGAGATACATCCTGCGGGCAGGAAGACCTACGAGCACACCTTCACCTTTCTGCAGTTGTCTTCATGTTACAAATAATATTGGTTTTGATACTTTGAAATTTGTGTGTGTGTGTGTGTGTGTGTGTGTGTGTAAAAGGAAAATCTTAGGAACCAAGACTTTCAGTGTAAAATCAGTTCCATAAGCACTCTATAATCTTACATCTGAATACCAGCATAAACTCATGATCTTTTTTTCTCTTTTTTAAAAAATATGACTTCTTTATTGATTTTGTAGAGAGAGGAAAGAAGAGAGAACGAGACATAGAAACATCCATGAGAGAAACATCAATCAGCTGCCTCTTGCACACCCCCTACTGGGGATCGTGCCCAGAACCCGGGCCTGTGCGCTCACCGGGAATCAAACCATGACCTCTTCGTTCATGGGTCGACGCCCAACCACTGACCCACACCGGCTGGGCTCTTTTCTCTTTTTAAAAACTTCTATTTCTTAGCTCTCGCCACTGAAAAGGCCTAGAAACAAAGATATATCCAGTAGCTATGAGCATCTCTGCTGCCCAGAATGTGGCCTCTAAATACCATTCCGCAGTAAAAGAAAGTTGGCTTCTTGGGGAAATGGCTGATTATAGGTTTGGCACAAGAAATGTACCAGGGCACCTTGTTGGGGCTGAAAGCTTCTCAAGGCTTAACTGGTTTGTGTCCAAAAGGGACACAGGAGTCACTTTGAAGAGGCTCCCAGGGACCAAAGATAACTGGAGCATCAAAAAGTATGACTGAAGCCGAGCTGGCATGGCTCAGTGATTGGGCATCGGCCTATGTACCAGGAGGTCACAATCTGATTCCCGGTCAGGGCACATGCCTGGGTTGTGGGCTCGATCCTCAGTGCGGGGTGTGCAGGAGGCAGCTGATCCATGATTCTCTCTCGTCATTGATGTTTCTACCTCTCTCTTCCTCTCCCTTCCTCTCTGAAATCAATTAAAGAAACATATTTTTTTAAAAATGAATGAGTTCATGATAACACTAAAACTAAAAATAACAGACTGTCGCTGACACCCATTAGGACGGCTACTATTTAAAAAAAAAAAATAACAATGTTGGTGGAAATGAGGCAAAACTGAAACCGCTATTCACTGTTGGTGGGATTGTAAATTTGTGCAGCCGCTCTGAAAAACAGTATGGCTATTCCTCAAAAAGTTAAATATAGAACTCTCATATGATCCAGCAATTACACTTTCGGGTAGCAGGTACCTGAAAGAATTGAAATCAGGGTCTCAAAAAGGTATTTGTACACGTTCGTGGCATTATTCACAATACCCAAAAGGCAGAAGCAGCCCAAGTGTCCATCAACAAATGAATAAACTAAATGTGCTTTTTACATACAGTGGAACATTATTCAGCCTTAAAAAGGAAGGGGATTCTGACTCATAGAGGACATTATGCTAAGTAAAATAGCCAGTCACAAAAAAACAAATGAAGACTATGATTCCACTTAGATGAGGTACCTAGAGTAGTCAGATTCATCGAGACAGGAAGTTGCCAAGGGCTGGAGGGGGAAGGAGGAGGAAATGTTGTTTAATGGGGAAAGAGTTGCAGTTTTGCAAGATGAAGAGTTCTGGAAACTGATTGCAAAAGAGTGTGAATGTACTTAATGCTACTAAACTAAGTAACAAAAAGAAAGAATAATGTTAGAAAAACACCCGGCTGCAAGTCTTAATATTAGTGACTCAAGCAGCAATGATTGGGTATTAAAATCATTAGGTAAAAGATAGGGAGCTTTACAATGAAGGGACCAGAAAGCCACTGTCTAAATTCCCCCCTAAGATCTGCATCATTAAGACGCAGACAATCAGACACTTTGCACCTCCCTGAAGTCATGAAATGTGGAGGACACAGGACTCCCCTCCTCAGCACTGACCCCGAACCTAATGGAGTCTTTACTGCTAACTTCTAGTCTACAGACAAAGTATGGGATTGAAAAAGAACAAGTTAATTATCTGAGGAAGCAATCAGGCAAAGCCAAAATTATCCTGGAAAGTTCTCAGGAAGCAATCAGGCTCAGGACCGTCCCGGAAAACCCTCCGGACACATGGCCCAGTTTCTTCAACAAACCAGTGACGTGAAAAAAGGGGGGTCCGATCGGGTGGATGGGACAAGGTACTGCTGTAGACGAAAAGTGTAAAAGGCTTATTAGCCAATGCAAAGTGTGGTCCCTGTCTGGATCCTGATTCAAAGACAAGTTTTGTCACAAAGGGGAAAATCTGAATATGGCCTTGTGTTAGGACATATGAAGGAATTGTTATTAATTTCGTTAGATATGATAATGGCATTAAGAACAAGAAGAAACTGTCTCTCTGTGCTGACATCCTACCCAAGAGGGTGGCTTGGAATGTCAGGGGAAGGACACCCCTCCAGCCACTGTACAGGGAGGCAGGTGGGGTTCAGGGACAGTCTCCCAGGAAGAACACAGAAGGCCCGCACATGCTGTCCTGCAGTCACTCAACAACCCCAGAGTGGAAGAGTGGGACCCCCCCTCCGCCGCCTACCCCCTGCCCTAGACCAACCTGAAGCTAGGGCACTCGTTCCGGGAAACCCAGATCCAACAGCCATCCAGGCTAGTTTTGACCCCAGAGCTCGAGCCTCACCCTTTCTGTGAGATTCAGAGGCCACTTTTATAGGCATGAGATTTTAAGGGATTAGAACGAGGCTGAGAGAGGCCTGACAGCCCTCCTGGTGGTCCCTCCCCTCCTCTCGGCTGGGCCCTGCTGTCCAGCTCCTATTAGACGAGAATGACACAGAGAAGAGGCAGGACCAGCAGGTCACCAGCAGGGGATCCTTGACCCAGACTTCCCTCACATGTTAGAAGACACCAGTGAGGAACAGTGTGGGGGAAAAAGAGGCCCAGGCATCAGACCTCCACTGGCAATGGCTCTGATCACAGGACTTAGAAGGTGCAATCTGGGACCCAGTCAACCCTGCTGGTATATGAAACCCCAAGGAGAGGGCTGAAGAGGCCATACTCCACCTGACTCACCGGGAGGAAAATACAGACACGGAGGTGAACATGAGAGGCAACAGCGACCCTCGGCACCTCTGGTCCCTTTTGGAGCTGCAGAAGCCCCACCATCCCCCCAAATTCTTCCTCCTGCCTCTACCCCACACTCCCAAGGCTGCCTCACTCGTGACAGCTCCCTGTCCTCAAACACACGTGGCACTGGCACATACTGTTGTCCCTCTCCCTGAACGCCCTGCCTCTCCCTCCTCCACGCTCAAATGTCATGTGTGGCGTCACAGTGAATTGTCCCTCTGAGGCACTTCCTGCAACGATGCTGACAAGCCTGTTCCAACCGGCTCTGCGTCTGCACACACTCAGCTGTCTGGGTGGCGAGCTCTGTGCTGGCTGTGCCACCAGGAGCTCCAGGAACAGCGCAACTCCCTCTCGCTGGCACCCGAGCTCAGCTAGGAACACACATGCAAAGCTCAGCGGCCCCCAGCAGATGTGCAGGCCCCTGTCGAACTGACATAAAAAGAGCTCCTAGATCAGTCGGCGTGACTCGGTGGTTGAGCATCGACCTATAAACCAGGAGGTCACAGTCAATTCCGGGTCAGGGCACATGCCCGGGTTGCAGGATCAATCCCGAGTAGGGGGTGCGCAGGAGGCAGCCGATCAATGATTCTCATCATTGATGTTTCTACCCCTCTCTCCCTCTCCCTTCCTCTCTCTAAAACCAATAAAAACATATTTTTTAAAAAAACATAAAAATAAATAAATTTAAAAAGAAGCTGCTGTACTTCTGCCCCAGGCTCTGCAGCCCTGGCTGAGGGAAGCTGGTGAGGGGCGGGCCTGGCTAGGTCAGGAGAGACTCCTGCCACGTGGAGGAGGAGAAAAAGAGCCTCTGGAGGCGTCTGGAGCCCCGATTCTTCACAGGACGCTGCTCCCTCAGACAGCCATGGGCACAGAGGGTGCCAGAGGATATTCTCAGCACAGACGCCTTTTTTTTTCTTTGAAATAAAGCCAGATCTCGTCAAACATAACCAAGAACGGGGAGCAGATACGCGCGGCTGCTTTCCTAGAGGGCTGAGAGCAAGGAAGGAAGGAAGGAAGGAAGAGGCCCACAGGTCAGCCTGCTGTGCTTCCCTCCACGTCAGCCCTGACACGGGCCCGGCTGCAGTTTCCACAAAGGATTCTGCCCAAGGAGCTGAGCCCATGGCAGGCAGCACGCAGCAAAGGATGGTTCTTAGAAGGGCAGACCAAGGCGGAGAGCAGTGTCACACGACCTCTGCCCCGAGTCCTGCGGGCACCTGGGAGGGCTGCCCGGACACCTGCCAGCAGAGACCTAGCCCAGGCCTGACCAGGGGCCCTGGCAGCCCACTGGGGTGGGAGCTGAGTGGACTTTGGGGCACGTCCACATAAACGCTCACCCAATCTTCAGGGCCTCCCGTCAGCTGAGGGCAGGACGCTTTTCTCAGTCAACACCAAGCACCATCTAGTCAAGCAGGTCGCTAATCGTCCAGCAAACATCCTGTTCTCAGACCGCTAAGATGCCACCACTGCCCCCATCGATGAGCCCATGGGAACCAGGGCCTGACGCCCGCCACAGGAAGGGTCACTCACCAGGCCCTCGGTTTTCTCCGTCATCCTCTGGAAATGTGCCGCCATGACCGTGTGGTCGCGTATCTGCTTGTGACATTCGAGACACTTGACCCCGTGCCGGATGAGCCTCACGGGGTCTGGGTAGAGCGGCAAAGCTGGGACGGTGGAGCTGGCACTGTCCGAGGCGGGGCCTTGTTTGGGGGAGGGCGGGGGAGGGGGGGCCGGGGCTGGGGCCAGCGGGGCCGAGGAGTTCACGGGGACCGCCACGAACATTTGGTCCGCGGAGATGGGCTTGACGAGCAGCTGCGAGCACTGCATGACCAGCCCCTTGCTCTTGTGGTCGCGGGCGTGCCGCAGCAGGCTGCACTTGTTGAAGAAGAGCAGCGTCTGGGAGCAGAGCGTGCACAGCACCTCGATGTGGACGCTCCGCCGGCTGTAGTGCTGGCTCAGGCTCTTCTCTAAGGCAAACGCGTCCCCACACTCCAGGCAGCAGTACCCGCTGGCGGGCACGTGGATCCTGCTGTCCGCAGGCGGGCTGAGATTGGGCGCGTAGAGGGGCACGGGGTTGGAGCTGTGGAGGACCTTGTTGAAGACCTCCACGACCAGCGGGGCGGCCTTCTTCACCTGGTGGACCAGGGGCACGGACATCTGTGTGGGCTGTGGCTGGCTCCGCCTCTGCGCGGAGGACTTGGCCGTCACTGAGGCGGCCACGCTGTGGGGGACCAGGTTCAGGTTGGCCAGGTGCACGGCTTTGGGCAGGAGGTTGGCAGAGGCCGGGGTGGACGCCTGCGGTGCGGTGCTCTGCTGCTGCTTCTTGCCCGCCTGGGGGCCCGGGGCGGCCCCCTTCGGAGCCCGGGACCCAGAGCCACAGCTGGGGGACGAAGGTTCACTGGCCTTGGTCACGCTCTCAAGTCCTTTCCTGTCGCCCTGGGGGCTCCCTGCATTTGTGTCCCCCTCAGGAAAGTGCTCGGGGGCAGGCAGGGCAGCGACCTCGTCCTCAGGCACCTCGCTCGGGGCCTCGGCAGCGGCACTCCCTAGAGGTGACCCGGCAGGGGACTTAGTGGGATCGTCTGGGTCCGGCAGGATCCTTGTGACAGTCCGTTTGATCTGCCCCGATGATGTCTTAATGGTTTTGATCCTGACTCTGGGAATCGCTGGTGGGGAGCTGGCGGCCACCGAAGGCGAGCCCTTGCTGCTGCTGTCGCTGCAGATGCTCCGGGGGCTGTCCGGCGGCTTCATACTTTTTCTAGTCGCCTCCAGGGGGCTCCGGGGACTCTTTGGTGACTTGGGCATTTTGGGGCTGCCTTTGGAGCCCTCTTTCGTGGGCCCTGAGGGGTCCTTGGTGTGGCCAGGATGGTCCTCCTTGGCGACACTGGCGACCCTTTTGGCCTGCAAGGCCACCAAGGCTGCAACACAAGAGGACAGCTTGGAATGCGCCGGCTTAAGTCGCTGCCGCGGGGGCACTGACGAGCAGGAGCCGAGCTCGGCAGCGAGCCCCTTGGGCTCTGCAATACTGTTGCTGGGGTGGCTGTTGAAGTCCAAGGCATCCCCAAAGAAGCGACTGGCATCCGGGTCCTTGTGAGGCTCTGCCGCCTTCTGCGCCCCTCGCTCATGTTCCTGCTGGCTCCCCAAGGGCAGGGGCTCGGGCTTGGGCTCCTTCTTGCAAAAGTGATCGAAGATATGCAGCTCCGGGACCGGAAACTTAGCCAGAGCCTCCAGGACTGGGCCCCCGACAGGCCCGCACCCGGGAGGGGGTGCGAAGTAGCTGTCGGAGTGCTTGGGCTTCAGCCCGAAGCCGTTATCTTTGATGGCATCCTCGGACTCTGGGCTGGAGATTGGACTGAACTGGCTGAAGGTGGGGAGTGGCTCTGACTTGCAAGGCTCCAGCTTGCCCGGGAAACTCCTGGCACTGTCTCCATTCATGAAAGCGGAGTCAAACTTCCCACAGTTGTGGCCCAGGCCGTGGGGCTCCGGAGGCAGGTCCGGGCCCCGGAACCCATTGTGCAGCAGGCTGGGAGTGATGTGGTCTTTCTCCGCTTCGAAGGACTCCTGGCGGCTGGTGTTCTTGACAATGACACTCACGGCAGGCACGTCTGAGGACGACCCCGAGTGGGACAAGGACACGCTCTCATCCATGCACATGCCCGGAGGCTTGAGGGGATTCTCATTCTCCTCGCTGGGGGTCTGGATCGCCTCCTTGGCGTCGAGGCTGGTGGGGTCTGGGATGTCAAAGGCGGCCAGAAGGTCATCAAAATCTGGAGTTTTCATATCCCCCATGGCTGGACGCCGGCAAGGGCTATAACAGAGACAGAGAAGAGACTCTGATCACCAGACTCCTGCTGGACCCGGCCCAGCGTCACCTTCATTGCACACCCAACACACTAACACACACCCAGCCAGCACGCCCACCCACAAACGCCCACCCTAGGGGAAGTCACACACTGGTGCTTCACCCCAACAGGTTTCCAAAATGCTAGAGACACAGAGGGAGGGGCGAGGAGGGGGGGTGTTGATACGTAGTGACAAGCCCGGCAGGCCTTACACCTCAACACCTAGGAACTCCTGGCTGGTTGCACAGCCAAGAGGCGCAGGCGTAGCACACTCCCTCCACCTGTCGGGGAACATCATCTCCATGTGCACTGGCCAAGTCACTCACTCAGCTGGAGAAAAGGCGTGGCTCAGCACCTCCCTTCTTCAGAAAACTTCTGGTTCATATATGTGATGTGGCTATAAGTTCTGCTAATTTACACGTAGTTATCATTGGCTTTGTATAACTCTGGTTTCTTGCTGCATACATTTCATTCAAATTCAAAATGATTTGCTATTGCCAGGATTTACGCTGCCTCATAAGTACACTCTAGAAAATTATATTATCCCCTTGGTATTTTTTTATTCCAGTCAGCATCTACTTAATTCCTTCCTTTTCACTCTAAAACTGTTATTGGTTGATGAACAGACCACTGAACCTGAGGGGCAGGGTGACTCTTAAAGTGACTCTTATCAAATCAGCCAGGAACGGTTTTAGAGGAGCCTTGAATTTTATTTCAACTTAATATACAAGGAAAAGAAAATCCACCTGTTTCCTTCATCATCTGGAGAAGCAGAGCTACAGAACTATCACAACAGAGGTTAGGAAATCCCTATGACACTCCCACTCAGTGGAGGTTGGAGCTGGCTCGCTCAAACCTGCCAGAAAGAGGAAGAAAAACCCACCGCCTCCCGTGCTCAGCCTCTGAATCCTGCATCTGCTTCAGCATCTCAGAGCCTTACTTGCTTACATACTTCCTACACCACGTTTATACTGAAAACTTTTCTGGATGCAGACTGACGCAATTCTTTTAGAAAGTAGTATAGTTGTCTCACAGAAACCAGATGAGGAGAAAAATCCTTGGGTCCAAGAAGCCCATTGCCAGAAATTTATCCTAAGAACAAATATTCCCAAAAGCCATATGGAAATGTGTGCAGCATTAAAAACAACACAGAAAAATAGGTGATATCTGTAATACTATCAAAAACAAAAAAAATTATTTAAAAAACACACACATAATGCCCTGGCCAGTTTGGCTCAGTGGATAGAGCGTCGGCCTGCAGATGGAAGGGTCCCGGGTTCAATTCTGGTCAAGGGCATGTACCTCAGTTGCAGGCTCCTCCCTGGCCCTGGTTAGGGGCATGTGGGAGACAACCAATAGATATGTCCCTCTCACATCAGTGTTTCTCTCTGTCTCTCCCTCTCCCTTCACTCTCTCTAAAATTCAATGGAAAAAATATCCTCAGGTGAGGATTAAACACACACACACACACACACACACACACACATAAAAGATATATATGCACACATACACACACAGAGTCCAAGAAGAGTGATTGACTGACAGACTATTATGCAGTCATTAAAAATTCTAATTATGCCCTGGCCAATGTGGCTCAGTTATTTGGAATGTCGTCCCATATGCCAAAAGGTTGTGAGTTAAATTCCCAGTCAGGGGCTTGTGTGGGAGACAATGCTTCTCTCTCTCCCTCTCCCTTTCTCTCTGTCTAAAATCAAAATAATAGTAATAATAATTTTGTTGTTATTGTTAATCCTCACCCGAGGATATTTTTTCCATTGATTTTTAGAAAGAGTGGAAAGGAGAGGGAGAGACAAAGAGAGAGAAACATCAATGTGAGAGAGACACATCGATTGATTGCCTCCCATATGTGCCCTGACTGGGGCAGGGTTATCGAGCCTGCAAACGAGACACCTGCCCTTGACCAGAATCGAACCTGCAATCCTACAGTCCGCAGACCGACGCTCTAACCACTGAGCTACCCGGCTAGGGAAATTTTTTAAAAATGTAAGTCCATGTACAGCCCTAGCCGGCTGCTCAGTGGTTAGAGCATCAACCTGCAGACTGAAGGGTCAAGGGCAGGTGTCTCGGTTGCAGGCTCGATAACCCTGCCCCAGTCAGGGCACACATGAGAGGCAACCAATCAACATGTCTCTCTCACATGGATGTTTCTCTCTCTTTGTCTCTCCCCCTCCTTTCCACTCTCTCTAAAAATCAGTGGAAAAAATATCCTCGGGTGAAGATTAACAAACAAAAAAATCCATGTACAGTTTAAGTTAATTTTTAAATTCTAATTATGCTAAGTGTCCTTCCACAGATGACTGGATAAGGAAGAGGTGGTACATGTACACAATGGAATACTACTCAGCCAGAGAAAGATGAAAGAAACATTGCCATCTGTGACAACATGCATGGATCACGAGAGTCCCGTGCTAAGTGAAACAAAGACGACAAAAAAGGACAAGAACCCAATTTCACTTCTATGGAGCATATGAAACAAAAAGCAACAAACAGCCCGGCCTCCACGGCTCAGTGGTTGAGTGTCAACCTATCAATTCCTGGTCAAGGCACATGCCCGGGTTGCAGGCTCAATCCCCAGCAGGGGGCGTGCAGGAGGCAGCCAATCAATGATTTTCTCTCATCATTGATGTTTCTCTCTCTCTGCCCCCCGTCCCTCTGAAATGAAATAAAATAAATTCTTTCTAAAAAAAAAAAAAAATCAACAAATTCATAGATACAGATAACTGAATGGAGGTTATCAGAGGGGAAGGGGTGGGGGGAGGATGAAGAGAGTAAAGGGGGTCAAATATACGATAACAGAAGGAGGCTAGACTTTGGGTGAGGAGCACACGATGCAATATACAGATGTTGTATTATAAAGCTATATACCTGAAATTTATATAATGTTATTAACCAATGTTACCCAAATATATTTAAATGTTTAAAAATCCTAAAATCCTAATTGTGACATCTACATAGCAACACGGAAAGTTACTTGTAGTATTAAGTTAAAAAAAAAATGAATACAAAGTGTTGTCATGTCAGGCTATGATTATAACGATGTAAAACTAAGTCTGCATTTGAGCCAAGATAAAAAGAAAGAGAAGAAAAATTATACAGGGTGCTAGGATTACTGGTGGGTTATTTTTTCAAAAGATTTTTTTGTGCAGATAAACTGCTTTTATAACTTTTAAATGGGAAAATAAAGAAAAAACACTCAGAACCGCAGGAAAGCAGGTGGCGTGGGGGAGGTATACCTGTTACTGCCCCAGGGGATCAACAGGCTTACAGGTTTGCGTTCTTGCCCCCCTCCCAACCTCCGACCAACAAAATACATCTGCCTGCTTAAGAGTTCACAGGAAATAAAAACCACTCCCATTGGAAAGCCGCCTGGTTATGGTGGATAATAATAAAGTGGATTGTCTATACTGAATACGGGTTGGCAGAGTAGCTTGCTGAATGACTGTGCCAGGACTGGGAAGTATTGGAACCCATAACCAGGGACAAGATACTGGGTATCAGGGAAAGCACTTGGCACCCCAATACCAAGGAAACACCTGTGTGATATTCGCTTTATAAGCTTATCCCACCCCCAACCCCCCCCTTTTTTTTTACTATCTAGGAGAAAAGATGAGGAGGAAGGCAGAGAGACTGGTCTCTTTAAGGAGCTGGGAAGACCATGTGGGGAGGAGGGGTAGTTGGCGGTGTGCAAGGAAATAGCAGGGAGCCTCCTATTGTCTCACTCTTGAAGCAGAGAAGTGTTACATCAGAAGAAAGCAATGTTCTCCACACAGAGAAATCTCAGCAACTGGCTCAAAGCAGTCGGAGGTGAGGTAAGGTGGCTTTTGCTAGGAAAATCAGAACTAGTAAAGGATGTGGCAGCTCAACATCAGCAGCAGGGAAAACATTTATAAACTCTGAATTTTAAATACCAAAGCTGATGCTTTTATTATTTTTTTAATATATATTTTTTATTGATTTCAGAGAGGAAGAGAGAGACAGAAACATCAATGATGAGAAGGAATCATTGATTGGCTGCCTCCTGCATGTTGGACTGAGCCTGCAACCCAGGCATGTGCCCTTGACCGGCATCGAACCTGGGGCCCTTCGGTCCACAGGCCGATGCTCTATCCACTGAGCCAAACCGGCTAGGGCAGTGGTTGGCAAACTCATTAGTCAACAGAGCCAAATATCAACAGTACAACGATTGAAATTTCTTTTGAGAGCCAAATTTTTTAAACTTAAACTATATAGGTAGGTACATTGTTATTAACTTAATTAGGGTACTCCTAAGGCTTAGGAAGAGCCACAGTCAAGGGGCCAATGAACCGCATGTGGCTCGCGAGCCGCAGTTTGCCGACAACAGGGCTAGGGCAAAGCTGATGCTTTTAAAAACCTAAGATCCAGTCCTGATTTCTGTTTTGCCCTCATAAGGAAAACCCAAAACACTAGTCATCGATAACAGTGATGGGACTCACTGTGTACTCAGTATTCATGTTTCTTTAAGCCTTGTTGTAAACTATCACACTGTTTGTAAGTAGAAAACAGAAATCAGTCAAACTGGCCCTAGCCGGTTTGGCTCAGTGGATAGAGCATCAGGCTGCAGACTGAAGGGTCCCAGGATCAATTCCGGTCAAGGGCACATGCCCAGGTTGCGGGCTCGATCCCCAGTAGGAGGTGTGCAGGAGGCAGCGGATCATTGATTCTCTCTCATCATTGATGTTTCTCTCTCTCTCTCTCCCCCTTTTCCTTCCTCTCTAAAATAACATATATATGTATATATATATGTATATGTATATATATATGTATATATACACACACACATATATATATTTAAATCTATCCTGTTATAAAAGCAGAGAAAGAAAATACCAAAAAAAGTCTATCAATAAAATTAGAAAAATTTAATGAAAATAATGAGAAACCACTTTGGGCTCACCAAATTGACCAAGGTTACCAGATGTTCCCCCGACCCACAGGGCTTTTCATTTCCCAGGATTCAACCTCAGTAGAGAATTGTTGTGGCTTAAAACAGTAATATTTATTTTTTATAAAACACTTGCAAAGCACTCTCAGCACTTTTTTTTTTTTTTAATTCTCACCAAGGATATGGTGGTGTTTTTTTTGTTTGTTTGGCTTTTTATTTTGGAGGGAGAAAGGAGAAAGAGAAACATCAATCAGAGACCCCAACTGGGGATCAAATCCATAACCTAGCTATGGGCCCTGATCGGAAATCAAATCCACAACCTCCTGGTATATGGAACAACACTCCAACCAACTGAGGCTCCCAGCCAGGGCTCCTGCACTAATTTTACGTCAATCGTGTTTCATGCCTTAATTTAGGTTTATCATGTGACATACATCCATGTTGACAGTCGCAGAGAGACCTCATTTTTAAGTAAAAAATGTCTTATTGAAACCCCCCCCCCAAAAAAAAACATAGCAAGTTAGTAATGCATACTTAAGACCCACTAATTCCACTTCCAGAAACTTATCCTAAGGAAGTTGATATGCACATGGCAAAGATGATTATACAGGACTAGAGGCCCAGTGCATGAAATTCGTGCAACTGGTCAGGTGCGGGGAGGCCCTCAGCCTGGTCTGTGCCCTCTTGCAGTCCAGGAGCCCTCGGGGGATGTCTGACTAAGCCCACAGTCAGACATCCTCAGCGCTGCCACGGAGTCGGGAGAGGCTCCCACCACTACCACTGTGCTTGCCAGCCGTGAGCCCGGCTTCTGGCTGAGTGGTGCTCCCCCTGTGGGAGCACACTGACCACCAGGGGGCAGCTCCTGCATTGAGCGTCTGTCCCCTGGTGGTCAGCACGTATCATAGCGACCAGTAGTTTTGCCATTAGGTCCATTTGCATATTAGCCTTTTATTATATATGATGATTATTTATAACACAATTATTTTATAATCAGCCCAGACTGTTTCCTGATGACACCATGTTACATGTCTCATCACAAAAGGCCCAGAACACATTGGCATCACCAAAAGGACACTGGAAACAACACGAAACCTGTGACCCTGCCTCATTCAAAACCTCGCAGGGCCCGTGCCTGAGTGTGCTGTGTAGTTTGCAGCACCCACGACATGAGAAAGACACACCAGAGCAGGAAGAGGGTCTGAGAAATGCTGAGGCTATAAAGTAGATGAAGAGCTTTCTGATGAGAGCCTTAAAAAACAGAACTCTATTTTATTCTGCAGAAAGGAAGACTTAGGGGACGGGGAGCATAACCGAAGCACAGGTTTGTTCATCAAACCTCAAAATACTAGAGAGAAGAGGGCAGCACCTTGAAGTTTGAAATAAAAGATGCAGACAAAAGACAACTGATCCATTAGTCAGAAAACATATGGGAGAACCAAGATGGCGGCATAGGTTAACGCCGGAGTTTGCTGCTCTGAACAACTACTTCAAAAGTGAAACCAAAAAACGGAAGGGACATCACCCAGAACCACAGGAACGCTGGCTGAGTGGAAGTCCTACAACTAGGAGGAAAGAGAAACGCATACGGACACTCAGAGGAGGCACAGTGCTGAAGTCAAATTCTGAGGTGCGGAGTGCGCGGAGCGGGCTGGCGGCGGAGGGTGCGGTTGGCGTTTTCAATCGGGAGGGAGTCCCAGACTCTGAGCTCCAGATCCGGGCGAGTCTTTAGGGACCCAGACTCAAACGGGAGAGGCGGGACTGTCTGGCTTCGGTCAGAGTGAGTGCAGCTTTCTCTCTGAGTTTTGCAGCGGGTGCTGGGACTCAGAGAGGCAGAGCCCCTGGGGACAGGACTGAGAGCCGCCATAACTGCTCTCTCCGGCCCACCCTGTTGATCCTGTGCGACCCGCCCCGCCCAAGCCCTGCACACAGGCATTTGCTGGATAGCCTCAGGCAAAGGCTAGATTAGCACCTCCCTAGAGGACAGAAGTTCTCTCACTGCTGACACAGCTGATTCTCATAGCCACCTGGCCTGGAGGTCAAACCCTCCCTGGTATTAGCTACAACAATCAAGGTTTAACTATAAGACTGCGAACAAAGACCACTAGGGGGTGCACCAAGGAAGCATAACAAAATGCGGAGACAAAGAAACAGGACAAAATTGTCAATGGAAGATATAGAGTTCAGAACCACACTTTTAAGGTCTCTCAAGAACTGTTTAGAAGCCGCTGATAAACTTAATGAGATCTATGAGAAAACTAATAAGACCCTCGATCTTATATTGGGGAACCAACTAGAAATTAAGCATACACGGACTGAAATAACGAATATTATACAGACTCCCGACAGCAGACCAGAGGAGCGCAAGAATCAAGTCAATGATTTGAAATGCGAGGAAGCAAAAAACACCCAACCGGAAAAGCAAAATGAAAAAAGAATCCAAAAATGCGAGGATAGTGTAAGGAGCCTCTGGGACAGCTTCAAGCGTACCAACATCAGAATTATAGGGGTGCCAGAAGATGAGAGAGAGCAAGATATTGAAAACCTATTTGAAGAAATAATGACAGAAAACTTCCCCCACCTGGTGAAAGAAATGGACTTACAGGTCCAAGAAGCGCGGAGAACCCCAAACAAAAGGAATCCAAAGAGGACCACACCAAGACACATCATAATTAAAATGCCAAGAGCAAAAGACAAAGAGAGAATCTTAAAAACAGCAAGAGAAAGAAACTCAGTTACCTACAAGGGAATACCCATACGACTGTCAGCTGATTTCTCAACAGAAACTTTGCAGGCCAGAAGGGAGTGGCAAGAAATATTCAAAGTGATGAATACCAAGAACCTACAACCAAGATTACTTTATCCAGCAAAGCTATCATTCAGAATTGAAGGTCAGATAAAGAGCTTCACAGATAAGGAAAAACTAAAGGAGTTCATCACCACCAAACCAGGATTATATGAAATGCTGAAAGGTATCCTTTAAGAAGAGGAAGAGGAAGAAAAAGGTAAAGATACAAATTATGAACAACAAATATGCATCTATCAACAAGTGAATCTAAGAATCAAGTGAATAAATAATCTGATGAACAGAATGAACTGTTGATTACAAATAGAATCAGGGACATAGAAAGGGAATGGACTGACTATTCCTGGGGGGGAAAGGGGTGTGGGAGATGCGGGAAGAGACTGGACAAAAATCGTGCACCTATGGATGAGGACAGTGGGTGGGGAGTGAGGGCGGAGGGTGGGGCGGGAACTGGGAGGAGGGGAGTTATGGGGGGAAAAAAAAGAGGAACAAATGTAATAATCTGAACAATAAAGATTTTATTAAAAAAAAAAAAAAAAAGAAAACATATGGAAGTTGTTGCAGATAAATGATATAAATATGAAAATGTCCACACTTACTCAAATTTAGAAATAAAAATAATAAAAGGCTCTTAAGAAATAAGAACAAGAAATGTCACTATGCCGATGAGCTTTCTTTCCCTTAGTATTGAAGCTTTTGAATTTTAAATAACATTAAACTTGGTTGTCTTTTTATTTTTTTCTTAACAATATTAAGTTCAGCAACAGTGGATTAATAAACTCTCAGTAACTGGACATGAAGGAGGGCACCCTGAAAGCATTAAGGAAAATCTGATCTGTACTGAGAATATTGTTTACTGAGACAAGGAGGCAAACAGCTTGTCACAGATTTACACTGTGAAAGCGAGAGCCGAGAGATGAAGGGGCCCTGGGCTACGAGACAACACGAGTAAGGTTCCTTGAACTGGCGACTGTTTGTTGGCTCAGGACTAGAAGAAAGGACCCGTGTACGTGTGTTTTAGGACCTGTGGGTGAATTCTTTACACTGCTCCCCCAGCTGAATATGGCTTACATATATGTATATCATCTGGGTTCAATGGTTAAGGATTTTAAAATGGGTAAATCCGACCGGTGTCACTCAGTGGCTGAGCATCAACCTATGAACCAGGAGGTCACGGTTCAGTTCCCGATCAGGGCACATGCCTGGGTGCGGGCTCGATCCCCAGTGTGAGGACATGCAGGAGGCAACCGATCCATGATTCTCTCTCATCATTGATGTTTCTCTCTCTCTCTCCCTCTCCCATCCTCTCCCTGAAATCAATGAAATATATATACATATTAAAAAGTGGCCAAACCAGTTTGGCTCAGTGGATAGAGCGTCGGCCTGCGGACTGAAAGGTCCCAGGTTCGATTCCGGTCAAGGGCATGTACCTTGGTTGCGGGCACACCCCCAGTAGGGGGTGTGCAGGAGGCAGCTGATCGATGTTTCTAGCTCTCTATCTCTCTCCCTTCCTCTCTGTAAAAAATCAATAAAATATATTTTAAAAAATAAATAAACAAAAAATAAAAAGTGGGTAAATGAGAAGTTGCCATCAGCTTTGCATTTTAGAAGAAGAAACATGGCAGGGGCAAGAGACCAAAGAATGACTCAAGTGTGAGAGACAGACAGACAGAGACAGACGGAAAGAAAGAGACGGGGTGAGGGAGAGGGACAGAGAGGGAGGGAGGGAGGCAGGGAGGAAAGGAGAGAAATTACTTAGCAGAAGCTGGGACCCGAAGAAAGTGCGTGAGGTGGCTGCCAGGTGGAGGTGCTTCTTCCAGGAGTGGAAGCTGGTGAGGCGAAGAGACCGAGTGAGCAGGCACGAGGTCAGCGCCGCTCCTGCGACCTGCAGGGGCTTCTGTTTGGACTGTGGCTGAACACGGACCACAGAGAGACACTGCATCCGTGGGTGGGAGAGGAGGGAGAAACTTTAGCTGGACCAAAGGACATGGGGAAAAAATGGTCCCATATTCCTCCCGGGTCCTCTCCTAAGGCCTCTCCAAACCCCTGCTGATGCCCCTGCCCCGGTGCCCTTCACCTTCACCCAGTGGCAGCTTCTCCTCTCCCCCTCCAGGCCCTTCCACCCCAACCAAAACTCCCACGTCCCAAGAACAGAGTGATCCTGTGAGCACTCTGACGAGACTCACAGGACACTGGAGCTGCAGGGGCCTCGGGAGGTATCTGGTCCGGTGGCTCTCGGACACCCGTCTGGGGAGCTGCTGCACCGACTGCAAAAGAAGAACACGTGACTGAAATACCGTCCCAGCTCCCAGCTCCCAGCTCCCAGCTGGAAATTCTGACTCAGTAGGTCTGGGATGGACCCCTGCATTTTTTTTTTTTTAATTATTGATTTCAGAGAGGAAGGAGAGGGAGAGAGAGATAAAAACATCAATGATGAGAGAGAATCATTGATCAGCTGCCTCCTGCACGCCCCACACTGGGGATCAAGCCTGCAACCCGGGGCATGTGCCCTGACTAGGAATCGAACCGTGACCTCCTGGTTCATAGGCTGACACTCAACCACTGAGCCACGCCAGCCCAGCGATGCCTGCATTTTTTAAGCTTCCCAGCTGATCACAGTGCACTGGTCTAGTCTACCTCTGCATCTTACACACGGAGAACTGGGGCTCAGAAAGGGAGGGTCACCACCAAACCTTTACCAGGTGCCAAGACAGACGCCTAGCACTGAGACAGCAGGGAAGGCCCATACCCTGTTCTCAAGTCCCCACCAGCCTGCTGGGAACACCCGCGGGAACACCCGCAGCCACACATCTGCAGGGCCAGGAAGGCTCCCCCGGGGCACAGGCGTCCCACAGGATGGAGGGAGGGGCCTCTGCCCGCCCAGCACAAGCCCCCTCACCCTCCCTTGTGCTTGCTTCACTTATTCCTCCTCACGGCATGGTTTCCTACCTTTACTGCAGTTATTTCAGTAAAACATTCTGCCGTCTGCTATTTCATAAGCCCCTGCACGGGCCCTCACTAAATTATTAATAGTAACCCTAGGATTCTAGGCATGGAGTTCTACTCAGATAGGCATCCAAACCTACTATGTTCAAAATCTAACCCTCGATGCCCTAACGGGTTTGGCTCAGTGGATAGAGCGTCGGCCTGCGGACTGAAGGGTCCCAGGTTCAATTCTGGTCAAGGGCATGTACCTTGGTTGCGGGCACATCCCCAGTGGGGAGTGTGCAGGAGGCAGCTGATCGATGTTTCTCTCTCATCGATGTTTCTAACTCTCTATCCCTCTCCCTTCCTCTCTGTAAAAAAATCAATAAAAATATATTTTAACAAAAAAGAAAAATCTAACCCTTGAGTTCCTCCCAGGATTCCTCATTTCAGGAAGTGACAACTCCCTCCTTCCCGTGGCTTAGGCCAAAACCTTGACATCCTTGAGTTCTCTCTCCTCCGGACCCGTCATCTGATCCACACACAAATCCTCTGAAACCGCCTCAAACTATCCAAACCAGCCTCTTCTAATGAGCTCTGCCATCACCTTCTCTCCCCTGGGTCCCCGGCAGCCTGCGGACTGGCCCCCTGGCCCCCAGCTCTGCCTCCTCTCTTCACGCGCCACAAAGCAGCCAGAGCGCTGCCTTTCCACTCCCCTCGGGCCATGTTCTTCCCGTCCTCAAACCCTTCAAACCCTTCCCCCGTGTCACACAGGTACACCCAGTCTGTACCCCGGCCCGAGGGTGATCTAACGGCCCTCAGGTCCCTCGGTCACCCCGTCCGCTCCAGGTGTGCACAGGCCCCTGCTGCTCCCCAGGCCCGTGGGCACCTGCTCAGAGCCCCTGCACTTAATACGCCCTCTGCGTGGGAAGTCCTTCCCCGCAGGCCTCACGGGCTCACTCCTCGCCCCCTCAGGTCTTCACTCAGGTATCACCAGGTCTTACAGTCTTGTGACCACTGTACAAAGACACCACTCCCCAGCCCACCGTCAGCCTCCGCCCCTGTAATCCGCCTTATTTTTCTTCACGGCACTTACCATCGCCGGACCTGTTATACGCAGGGTGGGCAGAAGTAGGCTTACCATTGTTTGTACGGAAAAAGATGTGCGGTTACGAATATTACAATAGCTTTATAACTCAAAAGAGTGTCGCAGCGGCACAGCGCACTGAGGTACAATCTCGTAAGTGTTCAAACAAATGATACAATAACGAACACATCGTAATACAAGGATAAACTCTGTTTCACGGACTCACCACTGTAAACCTACTTTTGCCCTCCCCTGTAATTGCTCATTTCGTCGTCTGTTTAGCGCTCCCATGTGTTTACTGGAAGGAAACCCACCATGAGAAAGGGACAGTGACTTGACAGGCTCATCTGTCCAGAACTAAGCTTGTCCAAGGACACTCACAGAGTCCTGAGCAGGTTCATCACAGTCAGGCAGCTGGCAAATTTGCAGTGTTATTTGTGTTTAGCCTTTAAAATGTTGCTATAAATAAAGAGGCCTTGAGTCATGACGGGGCTTGCCAGCGGGAAGGGGGCTACCTGAGGAGCCCTGCCTGTGAGAGCTGGGCTCCTGCAGGCTGATGACGGTCAATACTGTAATGGTAGAAAGTGCCTGCTGGCCACCGTCCCACAATAAGGCCATGTGTCTTGAGGATGGGATGTGTGTGGCGCCGGAGGAGACAGAGGGCTGGCTCTGAGAGCCGCAGGGAGAAGAGGGCATGGGGTGGTCTTGAGTCTTAAGAGGAGGGGATACAACTCTGTGAATATACTAAACACCACTGAATGGTACGCGCTAAATGACTGAATTACATGCCATGTGAATTATCTCTCAATAGAGCGACTATATTTTAAAATAGATAAAAAGGAAGAAAAGGGGATAGGACCATACAGCTGACTGAGCTGCTGCAAGTGGAAACTAGGTACAGGCAACAAAGTTTAAATAGAGCTGAGAAGCCCTAGCCCAGTGGTTCTCAACCTCCCTAATGCCGCGGCCCTTTGATACAGTTCCTCATGTGGTGGTGACCCCCAACCATAACATTATTTTCGTTGCTACCTCATAACTGTCATGTTGCTACTGTTATGAATCACCATGTAAATATCTGATATGCAGGATGTATTTTCATTGTTACAAATTGAACATAACTAAAGCATAGTGATTAATCACAAAAACAATAGTAATTATATATATGTTTTCCGATGGTCTTAGGCAACCCCTGTGAAAGGGTCGTTCGACCTTCCCAAAGGGGTCGCGACCCACAGGTTGAGAACTGCTGCCCTAGCCGGTTTGGCTCAGTGGACAGAGCATCAGCCTGCAGACTGAAGTGTCCCAGGTTCAATTCCAGTCAAGAGCACATGCCCGGGTTGCGGGCTCAATCTCCAGAAGGCAGCCGATCGATGATTCTCTCTCATCATTGATGTTTCTATCTCTCTCTTGCTCATCCTTCCTCTCTGAAATTAATATATATATATTTAAAAAGACATTACTTTAAAAATAAATAAGTAAATAGAGCTGAAAACGGAGAGCTAGACCGACACTCTATAACCGGTGCCTCTGTCACCTTTCATAACTGGGGAACAGATCTCAGCACTCACTGGGCACTGAACTTTGTTAGAGGGGAACAAGACCCAGAGCCTGAGACAAAAAGGGGACAGGACACCTCGTTCCCACACCATCCTGAGGAGCCTCCCCACTGAACTCTGTAAAAGCATCATCTCTTAGTGTGGGGACTCCTGAATTTAAGCAAGAAGCCAGTAGCCTCGGACCTGCTGGGAACCAAGCCTCCACTCCCTGACCAAAGGGCCCAGCAAAGAGAAAGCGGCTGTGCCATGGGATCACTCCGTCCCCAGCTGTCACCCATGTGCCTGGTGCCACCCAGTGTGCCACCAGCCTCATCACCATAGGTCAGTGATGGCGAACCTATGACAAGCATGTCAGAGGTGACACGCGAACTCATTTTTTTGGTTGATTTTTCTTTGTTAAATGGCATTTAAATATATAAAATAAATATCAAAAATATGTCTTTGTTTTACTATGGTTGCAAATATCAAAAAATTTCTATATGTGACACAGCACCAGAGTTAAGTTAGGGTTTTTCAAAATGCTGACATGCCGAGCTCAAAAGGTTCGCCATCACTGCTATAGGTGAACTACACTCCCAGATTCCAAAATCAAAGGTTTGAGGGGATACACGGAACATGCTATTAGTCCTGGGTATCTCTGTGGTTCCCGTAGATGACTTCAGCAGGAGTTTAGCAACTGGTAGAGTTTCTCTCCCAGCCCGAGCCAATTTGGCTCAGTGGATAGAGCGTCGGCCTGTAGGCCAAAGAGTCCTGGGTTTGATTCCAGTCAAGGGCACGTACCCTGGTTGCAGGCTCCTGCCTGGCCTGAGCCCTGGTCAGGGCGTGTGCAGGAGGCAACCAATGGATGTGTTTCTCTCACATCGATGTTTCTCTCTCTTTCCCTCTCTCTCCCACTCTCTCTCTGACAATCAATGAAAACTATCCTCGGGTGAGGATTTAAAGAAAAGAGTTTCTCTCTCCAGTGTTCTCTTTTTCTCTCTTTCTCAGACCTCCACACCCTTCTCCTTCCCATGCCTTTCTGTCCCATCCCTTTCTCCATGCCTGCTCGTCCCTCCCTCCTCCTCCTCTCTCAGCCTCTTTCTCATCCCTCTCTCCCTCCTTCTTCCCTCCTTCCTTTCTCAGCTGAGACCCAGGTGGGCTCTTTGATGATGGTTGCTCAGACCTCAGGGCAGTCGGCCTTCTGCAGGAAAGCAGGGTCCAGCCGGGCAGCCTTGCACCAACAACCCAGAGTGGAGACAGGTGCCCACAGGTGTGCCCACTGTGTATGTGCCCAGTGACCCTCGGGGATGACAGGGAATAATATCCAAAGAAATAGCCCTATGTGCCCTTCTACCATCAGGCAAAATGGAGTATTAGAGCCCTTGTGTTTTTAAGACACATGGTGAAATGCTTGCAGATAAAACAATGTGATGTCTGGCAACTGCCTCAAAATAGCGCAGGGCGAGAGGAAGAGGGCAGGGAGGGAGGACACCAATGCAGCAGGATTGGCCATGAGCTGATAACCGTTGATCTGGGTGAGGAGTACATGGGCGTTTATCATCTTATCTGCTCTACGTTTGTGCATTTAGGCACAACCGGCACCAGACCCTTGTTTAGTGGACAGCATGGGTCCATCCAGATAATCACCAAGGACACACCCATTAGGATGACTATTATTATTTAAAAAACAAAAAAGAAAATAGCCGGTTTGGCTCAGTGGATAGAGCGTTGGCCTGATGACCAAAGGGTCCCGGGTTTGATTCTGGTCAAGGGCGCGTATGTTGGTTGCAGGCTCCTCCCAGGGCCCTGGTTGGGGCTCATGCAGGAGGCAATCAATTGATATTTCTCTCACATCGATGTTTCTCTCTCTTTCCCTCTCTCTTCCACTCTCCCTAAAAATCAATGGAAAAATATCCTTGGGTGAGGATTTAAAAAACAAAAAGCAGAAACTAACAAGTGTCAGTGAAGTTGTGGAGAAATTGGCATCCCCATTCATTGCTGGTGGGAATATTAAATGGTTCGGACACTATGGAAAACAGCACGGTGGTGTCTCAAAAAAAACTAAACATAGAATTTACCACATGATCTAGCAATTCCACTTCCAGGTATAGACCCAAAAGAACTGGAAGCAGGGTCTCAGAGGTATTTGTACACCATATTCAGAGCGGCATTAATCACAACAGACAAAAGGTAGGATCAAACAGACTGTCCATCAAAACATGACTGGGTAAACAGTGTGCTATAAATAGGCAGGGGAATATTATTCAACCTTAAAAAGGAACAAAGATCTGACACATGCTACACTGTGGGTAAGCCTCCAGGACCTCTGCTAAGGGAAATAAGCCAGTCACAAAAGGACAAGTCCTGTAGGACTGCACCTATATGAGGTACGTAGAGTGGTCAAATTCACACAGACAGGGAGCATAATGGGAGAGAGCAGGAGTTTTTTAAAGAATATGTTTTTATTGATTTTCGATAGAGAAGTAAGGGCAGGGGAAGAACCATCGATTGGCTGCCTCCTGCATGCCCCCAACTAGGGATTGAGCCTGCAACCCTGACATATACCCTGACCAGGAATCGAACTGGAGACCTCTTGGTGCATGGGATACCGCTCGACCAACTGAGCCACACCGGCCAGGGCAGGGAGAGTTCATGTTCCATGGGCACAGAGTTTATGTTGGGGACGATGAAATGGTAATGGAAGTGGATGGTGGTGTGATGGTTCACAACAATGTGAATGTCCTTAATGCCACTGCACAGTGCTGAAAACGGTTAGAATGCTCAACTCTGTCATGTCCGCTTGACTATAATTTCAAATAGTAACTACCAAGGAACAGCAACAACAACAACAAAATCACTTGCATCCAAACTCTCAACTCCTGAAGGCTGGCCCAGGTCAGCCTGGACTGCATACCTCAGTGAGGCTCTCCAAACAAGGGTGTGGTGAGCGTTGCTGGGGGTGCAGAGCCGTGGAGAGAGGAGTCACTTTCACCTAGGCACATGGCTTAGTGACCAAACACCACCTGCAGAAAGACAAAAAAAAAAAGTCTTTTAAATAGTCCTGAAGGTAAATGTTAAAGTAGGTTAAGATGATGATGATGATAGTAATAGTGTAAGTCAAACCCTCCAACATAAATTCAGTGCAGACCCCAAATGTAGTCAAAGACAAACCGTGTCCCAGCCCCAGACTTTCCCTCCCTCCCAGTGTGGAGGTTCGCAGTGCAGCCTCAACCTGGGTTCAAATCCCGGATCCACTACCTTCTAGCCATGTGACCTCGAACAGGTCTCTTCACGTCTGTGTCTGTGTCCCCCGCATATAAGCGAGTGTTATGGAGATTAAATGAGTTAACATCTGTAAAGCTGTTACTGCAATGTCTTAAACGCAGCAAACACGTGTTTGTTCATTGTTATGCCACCAACCTCAGTGGCCAGCAAGCTTTATCTGACAGTTTTTCAGTGTCCCAGCAGACTGCCGAACCCCTAACTGTCAGGCTGACTGGAAGCATGCACAAGGGACAGGGACAAGGTACATGAGGGGCGCTGACCGCGCCACACAGCTCACTCTCCAGTGCTCAGAAGCCTGCTGAAGCAGAGGAAGCACAGGGTCAAGCAGTGGGCACGGACCAAGGGCCAGGTAAGCGGGGGAACGTCCAGGTGGGGAGAGGCAGGAAGGGACAGCACTGAGGAGGGGAGGTAAATGAGGTAAGACAAGGGAAAAACTGGCAGAACCCATTTTTAAAACGAGGTGGTCCTCTGCCCTGGCCGGGTAGCTCAGTGGTTAGAGGGCCGTCCCGCTCCATCAACGTTGCGGGTTCGATCCCCAGTCAGGGCACATACAAGAATCAACCAATGAAGGCATAAATAAGAACAAATCGATGTTTCCCTCCTTTCTTCTCTCTCTGAAAGCAATAAATAAACTTTAACAACAAAAAAAAAACAACAACTAGCCCTAGCGGTTTGGCTCAGTGGATAGAGCGTTGGCCTGCAGAGCAAAGGGCCCCGGGTTCGATTCCGGTCAAGGGCACGCACCTTGGTTGCAGGCTCCTCCTTGGCCCAGGCCCTGGTTAGGGCGCGTGCAGGAGGCAACCAATCAATGTGTTTCTCTCACATCGATGTTTCTCTCTGCCTTTCCCTCTCGCTTCCACTCTCTCTAAAAATCAATAGAAAATATCCTCGGGTGAGGATTAAAAAATAATAATAACTAAAAAATAAAAAGAACAACAACTAGGTGGTCCTCACCTCTAGCTGAACATCAGCGCCACCTCGGGCACTGTGCAAACAATGGACGCTTGGCCACAGCCCCGGATTCCAGTTTAACCGGCCAGTGTTGGGGAGACCTTGTTAAGGGTCCATCAGCTACCTGTACCCACAAACGTCAAACGAAAAAGCCTCATTCCTAATTCTGCTCACTCGAACCCTATTCCTGCACTCCTCGCTGAACTTCATTTCTGTCTTAACTTTGACAAACCAGAATTCAGTTTGGATTCTAAATGGAGATCTAAAAAATAAATAAATAAATAAATAAATGGAGATCTAGACAATATTAACGGAAGAATCTCGAGGGGAAGGGACAAAAAGTGATTATCCCAATTCTACAGAAGAGAAAGAGAAACACTTTTTCCTCCTCGTATTGGGACCTTCACATTTCAAAATATAAACTAACAAGCAGACACTGTGCTGTCCAAATGAGGTCCAAAGTCAGAGCCCGGGGCCAGGGCCGGGGCTGCGGGGTCTCCCATCTGATGTCCCAAGTCAGTTCTGAGCCCTCCAATGAGCAAGCGAGCCCGGTGATTTATTCCACGTTAACCTTGGCTCCTGAGGCCACTGGCCTCTGCCAGGTTATCCGGACCGTCTCTTGTACCCAGTGAACAGGGTTTGGCTGCAGAGCGCAGCTGGCACACCTGAGCACCAGGCCTCACTGGCCCCAGCTGGCCGCTTCTCCCAGGTCGCCCTACCCCCTAGACACGCGTTGATTTACAGGAGCTTTACCGTTTACAAAACATGATCCCCACGGCACAAGGAAGTGGCCAGTGGGGGAGCGGGGCCAAGGCCAGAGCCCAGACTCCTTCAGGCCTCCAAGGACCAAGCGGCCCTTCCCCTCAGGATTGTGAACCAGGAGGTCGGGTTTCACATTTCAGGTTCCCAACATCCTCGCCTTCCCAAGGTGCCGTTATAGGTGGTACAAAGGCAGTCACCACAGCCTTTGCCATAATTATGACACACCTGAGGGTATTGGAAGACCAAGGTTAGAAAACAGTGCTCTAGAACAGCGGTCGCCAGCCTTTCGAACCTCGCGGACCACCAGTGGTCCTCGGACCCCCAGCTGGCGACCGCTGTCCTAGAACATCGTTCTAGATTAGAAGTCCTTCTAGGACCAGAAAGATTAAAACCTGTCAGAGCCAGAGGCCCTGGGAAACCTTTCAGTGTAAGTCACTGACTGTGGCAAGAAAATGAAGGCCCAGCCCTAGCCAGTTTGGCTCAGTGGATAGAGCATCGGCCTGCAGGCTTGAGTGGTTCAATTCCAGTCAAGGGCACATGCCTGGGTTGCGGGCTCAGTCCCCAGTGGGGGGTGTACGGGAGGCAGCCGATCGGTGTTTCTCTCATCATGGATGTTTCTAACTCTCCCTTCCTCTCTGAAATCAATAAAAATATATTTTAAAAAAACAGAAAATGAAGGCCCAGAGAGGTGAGTATGAGATAAAGCACATACATTGAAGAGTTTTCATTGCTGTGAAAGACTCCTCTTATGCCTGCCAGGGGACGGGCCTCCCCTCGCCTTCTCAGACAGGCTGAGGTCTCCTACTCACAGTTACCCATTGAAATCGCTCCATCAAATACCAGGCATCAGGCTTACATAACCCTCCAAGAGCGATTCTAGCCTTAGATGCACATCTAGGGAGCAATACTAATGCCTAACCCTACCTCAGACCAATTAAATCAGAATTTTTAGGGATGGGGGTCACCCAGGTGACCGATGCTATCTGGGATAAAAAACAACTGTCTTTAGACCACGAACCACCGGCCTCAAAAACCACCCATAAAGGCTTAACGATGCAGGCGCGCGGGCCCACCTGGAGACTGACTCGGGAGTGGAGTGGGGCCCAGGGGTCCGAAGCCGTGACAGTCACTGAGCGGTTAGGAACAAGGGCACTGAGTGAGTCCCGGAAGCCACACGTGTGCTCCAGCGGACTCCGGGAGAGGCTCCCATATCCGACGCTGGTGCCCACTCTTCGCGGAGAGCTAAGCCCCCCTGCTTCCACCATCACCAGCAGCCAGGGCACCTCCCAAAGGAGGCTGAGGGCACTGTGCTCTGCACAGCCCCGCAGGCTCCCATCTCACCCCCACTCGGGGCCCCACTGGGAGCGCCGGCCTCCTCTCCCGGCCTCCCCCCTCCTCACTCGGCCCCACCACTGCTTTCCTGGCTGTTCCACAAACTCTCAGCATTCTCTGGCCTCAAGGACTAGCTGTCTTGCTTTTCTCTCCAGGCTGATGGCTCCTCCCTCAGATAACGGCCTGGCTCCCTCTCACCTCCCTCCGATCTCTGCTCAAAGGTCCTTTTATCAGTGAGGCTTCTCGGCCTTCCCCTCCCACCGAGCCTCCCTGTCCTCCATCCTGCTTTGTTTTCCTCCAAAATACTTTCCACCATCTCTCATACTTTATATTTTATTTATTGTCTATAAGCCCACACACACTAGAATAGGAGCTCCATGAAGGTAATATTTTTCTTTGTTCCCTGTTATATTCCCACCGCCTAAAATAGTGCCGGGCACGTAACGGGCACTCATATATTTATTCTAGAAATGAATACATCAGAGACACCAATCTCAAAACATAACTTATCCGAGAAGATCATAAGAAGCTAATTATGTCAAAATCACTTCTCCACCAATCTCATCTGGCAAAAGCCTTTTTAAAACCAGGCTAGAAGCCTAATGAAACAGAAACCATTTAGAAATAAGCATTTCCCATCCAAATGGGTTTGTGAATCAGAGACAATTGGTTCCGAGAAACAGATAAAACTTTGGAGACAGAGCATGAGGTTGAAAGAAGGTGACAGAACCCATGGGTTTCAGGTGCCAGCTCAGGGGAACGCTCTGAGCGCACTGACAGCTACGCTCGCCTCGCACAGACCAGGGAACAGACAGGCTCCAGCCTGGGTCACAGTCTGAGACGCAGGCCAGTGCATCACCAGACCCACGAACCTGAGGCCCCTTCCCTCCCTTTCTCCCACAGACACCCCGCCCAAAGCCACAGGCAATACTTGAATGCCCACCTGGTTGGGAGCGCTGGAAACCGTTGTCAAGGCAGCCACACAGAGGCCGGAGGGCATCCCGCCTCGACCAAGTCTCACCGACGTCATATGTCCCACTCCATGGCCCTGTCCTCGCTACCTCTTTCCCCACCACCTCCCCACGGTCATCCTAAGAGCCATCTCCCCCAAACACCATTTTCATCACGTCACTGTCTCTGCTCACAAACCTAAGCATTTCCCCAGGCGTGAGCTCCAACCCTCTGGACAGGCTTTTGAGAACCTTGGGAATCTAGGCCTAGGCCACTCCCCTTTAGCTGTCTATCATAAGGTATAAGATTGTGGGGTTATTTTCTTCTTTTTTTTTTTTTTTTTGGTTAATCCTCACCTGAGGGTATTTTTCCATTGATTTTTAGAGAGAGTGGGAGAGGAAAAGAGAGAAACATCGATGTGAGAGAAACTCTTGGACTTGTTGCTTTCGGCACACGCCTTGACCAGGGCCCAGGGCCCAGGGCCAGGGAGGAGCCTGCAACCATGGTACACGCCCTTGACCAAGCCCTTGACCAAAATCGAACCAGGGACCCTTTGGTCCACAGGCTGATGCTCTATCCACAGAGCCAAACCGGCTAGGGCTTGTTTTTTTCTTGAATGCTCCAAACATTCTTAAACTGAGCATATAACAACAACCTTCCCAACCCTGTAAGACTCAGTTCACATTCCCCCTCTGCCTCAGGGGCCCCTGTACCAGTGCTGTACCCCAGGTTCCGCCAGCAG